TTTCAGCTCAGGTTGGTTTGTATTTGTTGCTCAAATAGTGCATTGACACTGAATTATCTTCCACTGTTTGCTGTTTCCCTGGGAGAATTGCATCTGCAGGATGCAAATATTGTTTCTGAGGAGACACTTTTCCCCTCCGTGGTGTTTTATCTGCAGTCACTGGGTGTCATTACGTGGGATAAGGTTCAGGATTGAGGGGAAGCTTTCAACAGTTTAATATTTTCTGAGATAAATTGATCTTGCATAATTTGTGAAAGTGATGAAGCGTATTCTCAGGAAAAATTGCTCCCACTTCCTCTGGCCTTAGATCTCTTCAATTATTCCTCAGTTGTAAATCAGGAAGATAAATCTCAGTTCATCCTGAGCCCTGGCAGGGCACTTACTGACAATTGGGAAAATAACCCCTGGCAAAACTGCAGTGGATTTGCAAACAGACACTGTGTGAGAGTCTCCTGTTGTGGCTGTAGAAGGTGATGATGATGATGATGAAGGTGGGAAGGGCTGCTGAGAAATAACTCCTCACTTCTTGTAGGGCCAGCAGTAAATCAGGCCACTGGCCACAAAGTCCACCCCTGCAAAACATCTGGGGTGGCAGCTGGTGCTCATCTCACAGGCAGGACAGAGGTGGAAATGAGACTCTTCAAACAACTAAAAGAAAAATAAAATGTACTGTCAGGATTGAAGTTCTGCCCAGGAAATGACACAGTTCTGGTTCTGGAGCAAGCAGAGCTGACAGGCTTTCCTTGATTTGAAGGAAAGACTGAAGAGCCTCAGAGGGGGGTGGGTTGGGAGGGACCTTTAAAGTCCTCCAGTCCATGCCCCAGCTGTGGGCAGAGACGTCTCTACAAGACCAGGTTGCTGAGAGCCCCTGAGGCACAGTCTGGCATGGATGGAGAGATGAAGGCTGGAGGAGGAAGGACCAACCTGCCTGATGTGGTACCGGGCTCCTGGGTACCCTCAGGACGCTCTGGATCTTCCTGGGGGTGCTGCAGTGAACCTGCCCTTCCCCTGCGGATCCTCTGGCTCGGTGGCACTGCAAAACTGGGCAGAAATTGCAATGCAAAAGGCACATTTCAGGGGCCAGGCAGGAGTGACCCTGAGGGTGATGTTGAGAGCTCAGTGCCCACAGAAAATAACCCGTGTCCCTGCTAAAGCCCCTTCTGTAATTGCAGCATCTCGGCTCTAATCGATCCTTCACAGTCAGCATCTAATCAACTTTGCATGAGTACAGGAGCATGAAGGACTTCTAAAAACAGACCTTGATGGTTTTATCCCCCCTTTTTTATTTTTTCTTTCTCCTCTTGTTTATCTTTTGTCCTCTGTCTCCCTTTTTCTCTTTCTTAAAACTTGGAAAGTTCAGGCAATTTGAAGAACAGCGTTAAAAACTCCTGCCCTTTCTCCCCACCTGTGTTAGAGTCTGAATCTTGCTTAATTTTTGACTGCAGCACCATCCTGTAAAGGTGTTTGTGTGGTCATTAAGAATTGTATGGAAAAAAAGTGTTTCCCTTAGTTTTGAAATGTTCTGCCTTTTGGTTTTGTTGAATTGTTGCATCTTGTGTTGGGTCACAGGGAGGGAGGATCCCAAGTCTGGTGCCCTGAGTGACTCTGGGGAGCTGTATCAAAATATTTACCCAATTCCCAGCAAATAATTAATGTCAACTTCCCAGGCAACCTTTGGAGAAGGCATTTAATGAATTAGTTCAATTTAAAATAATAATCTTGTTGTGGTAATTGACTGAAAAAACAAAGAAATAGAAGCAGTACTGCAGAGAGAGTGCTGAGCAGCCCAGGGCTGGTTTCCATGGGTTAAAGTTTAATGTGAATTTTGGAAATGGTTATCAGAACAAGAGCAGAGCTGGTGATCTGCAAAGACTGATTTTAAAGTTTTCTGTTTCTGATTGGGAAGATTATTTCATGAAATGAAGTTTTCATTCCTTTGCTTTATAATACTCTGTAAATTCCTTGGCTGACAGGGGTCTGAAATGGCAGAATAATGGGTAAATTCAGATGCAAGGGATCCAAATTTGTTTTGTTAAGCCACATTTTCTCCTGTTTTCCAATCATCACCATGGCAGCAGCTTTGTGACCAGTGTTAGCTCTAGTCTGCTCCAGCTGTGCTTATCCATGTAGTGATGGCACCTTCAGCAGAGACCAATAAATTATTCCTATTTAATCCAGCATTGCAAAGAAAAGTAAATTCTCCCATGAACAAGTCACGTTGGAATAGTAAAGTTATCTTCTTTAGGTCAGATAACATTTTTCTCATTCATTTTTATTTTTTTTTTGCTGGGCTGTTGAAAGTTTAATTTTTCTGCCACTAATTCTGGCTTTAGGGACAGATAAATGTTAATATCCGAATTAAGTAGCTCTAAAATAATTGAGGAGGAGATTGTGGGCTCCAGCATGAACTGCACTGGTGAGTTGTCTTTTACGTAGCAGGAAATGTTGAGTGTCTGTGTCAGCTCTGCACAGACATGGCTGAGTTTGTGACTGGGAGGAGTGAAATCAGATAGGAGAGACTCCATGTCTCCATTTTCCATGTGTCTGCTTTTATTTAGGGACATCAACAGGAGACCAAACCAGAGCAGGCACCAATGGGGCACGAGAAGAAGTCACCAGAACACTTCTCTCCTCCTGGCTGAGGGCAGTTGGATTTGGTTCATCTCAGGGTGGCTTTAACTGTGGATTTTGCTTAAAAAAACGAAAAATCCGATAAGCAGAGGCTGAAAAATGCAAAGGCCAGGGGTGTGATGTGGTTCTTTGCTCTCTCCTGGCAGCCACCAGCTCGGCCCACCTGGAGGACCTGGCGTACCTGGACGAGCAGAGGCACACCCCCCTGCGCACGTCCCTGCGGATGCCGCGGCAGAGCGTGGCCGGCGCCCGGGCACAGCAGGACCTGAGAGGTGGGAGCTCCTTCTCCTGGGGGATTCCCACTCATGGGGTGGGAGCTTGGGTTGCACCTGCTTTGTCTGCATCCATGTGAAAGTCAGAATCCCAGAACGGTTTGGGTTGGGAGGGACCTTAAAGATCATCCAGTGCCACCCCCTGCCGTGGGCAGGGACACCTTCCACTAGCCCAGGTTTTCAAAGCATCACCCATATCTGGATTACTGACATTTGAACTAATTTAAGATTAAATTAAAGCCCCGTCCAACCTGGCTTTGGACACTTCCAGGGATTCAGGGGCAGCCACAGCTTCTCTGGGAATTCCATTCCAATCCCTCACCACCCTCACAGGGAATAAATTCTTCCCAATATCCAAATCTACCCTCCTCCAGCTCAAGACCATTCCCTCATGTCCTGCCCCTCCATGTCCTTGGGAAAGGTCCCTCTCCAAGTCACTTGTGACCCCTTTTGTTTCTGCTCAGGTGGCTTTTATACTACTCCTGTTCCAAAGGTGCTTTTTGAGGAATCAGAATAGTGTGTCTCTGATTTCTCTGGCTTAGAAACATCTCAGACTTTCTCTGATTGGGAAGACTCCAGTTTTAGAATTACAGAAGCACAGACTGGCTTGGGTTGGAAGGGACCTTTAAAGGTCATCCAGTCCAGTCCCCCCTGCTCATGCCATCTCCAGGGAGATGAGGCAGCCAGTGTTCTCTGATTACAAATCCATGGCAGTGCATTCTCCTTCCAGCACGGAAGAATTCCTTCCCAATATCCAACCTAAACCTACTCTCACTTGGAAGCCATTCCCCCTTGTCCTGTCCCTCCAGGCCCTTGCCCAAAGTCCCTTCCCTGTTCTCTTGGAGCCCCTTGAGGCACTGGAAGGGACTCAAGGTCTTCTCAGAGCCTTCTCTTCTCCAGGCTGGACACCCCCAGCTCTCCTGACCAATCTCTGATCCCCATGGGGTTAATATTTTGATAATTTATAAAAAATTAGAAACTTTAACGGACTACTATTGGTTTTTACTTCTTTTTTTTTTTTCTTTTTCAATCCAAAGCCAAGGTTTGCAGCCCCCCCTTGCATTTTGCAGGCTGCCAGTGGGGAAGGAGCCCAGCACAGTGACAGGGCCACTGTGCCAACGTGTCCCTCGTAGAGATGGTCACAATGCCCACATTCAGGCAGCCCTTTGCCTTCTGAAAGGCCTTTTGAGAGGGGAGATTTTTGTGGTTCTTCCTGGCAAATTCCACAAACAAGATGTTAGCAATGAGAAGAGGAGCCAGGGCTGACATTTTAGTGTTTTGTTTATTCCCAGGCAGCTCCAGCTCCATTTGCTCCATGTCCTCAGGATTTTTCAGCCCACCCTACAACTTCCATCCCCCCTTTAATCTGAGCTCAGTCTTTGGCCACATGCTCAAGTTGTCACTGGGGCAGCCCTGAATCTGCAGCAGAGCATTGGGTTGATGCTTCATCCCCTCATTTGTCATTGCAAAGATGAATAAGTGGCTGGGAAAGCTCATTTTGGATATTTTCAGGTTGTTTCTGTGCCTGGTTTATTCTCCCCTGTACTAAGAAAACGGGTTTCTTTTGGCCATACAGGAAACTTTCCTGTTCTCTGGGGTGTTTCTGAGCAAGTGCCACCATCCTGGGGTGAGGAACTGGGGAGCTGGAGGGCACAGGATGGGTTTTCACCCAGCCCCACACGCCCGACCTGGTCCAGCCTGACTGGGCTTTGTGCCAAGGAACGAACCCCCCAAAAACTGGATTTGGGAGCCGTGGAGGGCAGTTTGTAATGAAATCCCCTGGCTGGGGAGGCACTTCTAGAAATGCATTAGCAGGCAGTGAGTGAAGAAAGCAAAAGTTTGACAGACCAAATTTCCATATGCTGGGAGGCAGCAGCTTGCCAAGGCTGCGTAATTTGCAGTGATTGCATCCAAAACATTCAACTTTATTGTAGGAACAGAATCAAATTGTTTTCCAGACACACTTTTTTAAAACCCATGTAGCACTACATATTTTCGTTCTACTTTTTGTTCTTTTTTTTTCCCCCCCTTCCCTTTTTTGTGACAGTTGCCTGAGAAGAACAGCAGCAGTTTGGGTTTTTTTTTTTTTTGGAATTTGTTTCTGATCCTGGTTGAGGCTCTTTGCTGTTTTGAAAAAGAGAGGGAGAAGAACAGGATATGAAAAAAAACCCAAACCCATCACTATTTGGAAATATTTTCATTTAAATTAATATGTGAGGGGGGGCTTCCTTCCCCCCCCCCCAAAATGCTTCGTGTTGCAGATATTGCTGTGAAATTACATCAGTCTGGGCTGGTATAAACAGCAGCTCTTTGTTCCAGCTGGAAATCCTAAACTTGGGTTTAATTTTAACGTCTCTAGTCTTGGCACTGGGCTGAAGTAGCAAAGCCATTCCTGGCCCAGTGTTGAGGGACATGTTACAACCCACTGGTTGTTCCCAGTGTTCCAAAATCCCAGGGAGAGACTGAATGGCAGGCTGGCCCTGCTATTTTTTGTAAAATCAGTGCTTTTAACCAGGGGAGTAGTTGAGCAATCCCAACACAAAGAGCACGACAAGGATTCGTCCCAGGGACAGGTTTTTAATAGGATGGGGCAGGCAATTTTTGCTTTCCCTGCTTTTCATCCCGTGGGATTTGAGGCTGCTTGGGGTTGCTGTATCCCAAAAACCCGCGGAGCGGGAGCCAGATGGCAACAAAATGAGGGGTATTAGAACACCCCAGCTGGGCCATCAGGGGTTTTTTTTTGCTCCAAAATGCCAG